TTTTTGGTATTTTTATAGTCAATAAGAAATGCACTTGTTGTTGACATAACTTTACATTTTGCTATCAGTTGAATTCTTATCTCTATAGATTATATATTTTGAATCCTTAATATGCCTTCAAGTCACCTGTTGACAGCATAGGGTTTTCTTAGCACAGCAATCATATTTCTCTTTGGTTTCAGATGCCTAAATCCAATTTTTAGCCTCAAATTGAATAGACCTATATAGTCAACAAGACTTATCAAGTTTCAATTAAGTCAATGGGTCCAATTTTAATTGGACAACCAATTGGATTTAGGCCAAAGGCTTCACAATATACTTCAATCTTCAGCTGACAAGGACTTTTTAAAGCAATGTTATATTGTGTCTTCCAAATTATCTGGATGAAAGTGCTCCCCAAATGTCTGATTTGGTGAATCTAAAAAAGAACTGAACATTCTTGACTCAAAGCAATAGACTGAAAAGGCATGATTTTAATAATTTGTTCAACATGCCTTGGGAATCTTTCAAATTCTATTTACTTGCATTAGTAAAGAACCAGTAAATAAGGGTTCTTTTTTATTGGTTACAAAAGCTCTTTTCAACAAAGTTATGTTTTATTCTGGAAATATTCCATTTTTATCAATCAGAAATAAAGAAGAGCTTGAATGACACAAAACAAAATCCTTCAGAAATCTAAGCTCAAACTGACTTGGAGTTTCTTAAGAGCACTACACAGTACTGAAATGAATATTGTAGCTAAAGAAAAAGCTGGCCAATGTTATTACAAACACCAAGCAAAAACAATATAAAAAGTGATTGTATAATACCCTTGAGAGCATTATTGACTAAGGATGGCATACAGCATAATTCCCACAATCATGGGGGATACGTTCCCAGACTTCGCATGGATATGTGAAACTGCAGATAAAAGAAAATTCCATTATTTTTAATGGGATGAATGATAGCGACATTGGAAAAAGGACGTAGCTTGTAGAACAGGTCCTAAGTGAATAAGTGAAACTGCTGGTAAGTGAAATAATATATATTGGTTCCTTGGATAAGGTTAATGGCAATCATACTGTATATCAGATTAGAGGACAAACAAGAGAAAATATGTCTAATATTGTGTGGTGTTATTACGCTGTAATGAAGTTGCCAGTTAGACCTAGTGAAAGTGCTATACTGACTCAGCCTAACACAGATAATGTCTTTGAATACTGTATACTAAAAAACAGACACACTTTAGGAACTGAGTGGGTTCCATGTAATTTTTTCTTAAAACTACACTAGGTTCAGCCCCATAAAAAAGCAAGGGCAAACCCCCATGGCCCAATTCTGACAAGAAAACCCCACAAGAGATTCTCCTTAGGGTTGCCATATGTCTGAAATGTCTTGAAGGCACACAACAAGAAAAAACAAAACTGAAAGGTTCAGTGACTAAGAAACCTAGATAAATAATTACTGTCCCAAGTTTTGTAAGTAGGATCATGGGAAGAGTAATAAACTGCCAACCTAGCAGTTCAAAAACATGCAAATGTTAGTAAATCAACAGGTACCACTTCAGGGGGAAGGTAATGGCGCTCCATGCATTCATGCCGGCCACATGACCTTGGAGATGTCTACAGACAATGCCGGCTCTTCAGCTTAGAAATGGAGATGAGCTCCAACTACCAGAGATACAACTGGACTTAATGTCAGGGGAAACCTTTACCCTTTACCTAAGAAACATAGCTTTGCATGTACATATTTAGCTCCTGCTGTTTCTCTTCTCCAAATTCTTGCACATCCCATACATTATCTCTACTTTGTCTGATCTTTAAAAGAGATATAACGATAAGTCTGATATAACTGGATGCTACTTGGATCACTGAATTGCAGGTCAACTCACGAATAAGTTTGGGAATCATTTTCCTCAGTTCTTCTAGGATATATTATTAATGTTACTTCTTGGAAATCTAGAAATGCACAAGGTCCGTATAAATGATGTTGACAGAAGCGGGACAAGCAGAGACCCCCAAATTTGATATCATAGCAGTGGGATAACAAAAAATCCTGACAGTTCCACCTGCAATTCTCTAAATTACATTTTATTAGTATTGGTGTTGGTCTTTGTTCTGTGTTTTTTAATATATGCATGCTAATAATGTTATATTGTATCCGTGTTTTAACTATGATGGACCCTGCCTTGGCCTATGAGGAGAGTGGCCTATGAGGAGTGGTGGGTAATACATAAAAATATCATCATCATCCAAAAAAAACTACAGCACTAAAAGTGTATATCATTTAATAACGGATTAACATCAGGCAAAATATAAAAAATCCTGACACAAAATGATAGCTGAAAGTACTTCTAAGGACCTTTTCATAAGGTAAAGGTATCCCCTGACATTAAGTCTAGTCACATCCAACTCTGGGGGTGGTGCTCATTGCTCTAATGGTAGGCGCATAGGGCACTCCACGTACCCTCCCTCTTTCACCAATCAGATGGGGACAAGGAACATTGGCACCCTGTTCTTGTCCAAATCAGATGGGAGAAAAGGCGGCAACATGCATTGCTATGTTTCTCCCATCACATGGGAGAAAGGCACCAAAAATGCAGGTAGCTCTGTTGGAGCTATCCAAAACCCATTTACTTCTCCAACATGGTTGAGGAAGCATCTTGCAACGCTTCCTTGTCACTTCGGGAGGAATGGAGTGGGACCAAGCCAGCACGGTCTGATGGCTCTTGGGAGGCCCTGTCCAGAAGAGAAAAAAGGGGCCAAAAAAACCTAGTGTGATGAGTTGGTAAGTGTGCAACTACACTGTAGATGTAATGCAATTTGACACTGTAACTGAAATGCCTCAATGCTGTGAAATTATGAGCACTCTAATTTGGTGACACTCTTTAGAAGAGAAGGTTATTAACTTTGGAAAACTCCCATGATTCACAGCATTGAACCTTGCAGTTTTATTTATTTCGTGTCAAAAGCATCACACAGATAAAACAAGTATACAAGCGGCAAAACAACTCCAGACCAAAGATGGGCAACAGCAACTGCATTGTCTGTAGTTTTAAGCAATTCTTCCTCTGTGCATGAGGCAGGGCATTGTGAGCAAGCATACAGATGTGGAGTTGCTTATTCTGCTCCGCAGTCGCATAAGGTGGAGGATTCTTCTAAGTAGTTCAATTTTGCCAGGTTGTCTTTTGATCTGCCCACTGCACTTCTGAGTCTGTTCAGGGACTTCCAAGTTGCCGATTCTTGGTTTATCCCTGGAGGCAGACCCTTGTGGCGGGAGGGGGGGGGCATCCATTTGTGATTTCCTGGTTTAGCAGCCCAAAGGGATACTCTTGCTTTTGTTGGGGGAACATTAAGAAGAGTGGGGGTTCTCATGAAACTTTTCCTTGATTTGAGTTTACTGGGAGGAAGCTGATAGCCAGGCTTTCAGAGTGTTCAACATTGACAGTTTCAAAGCAATGTTCATATTGTCTCACTGTTTATCACAGGCTCTATCATCCCTCTAGCTCAGGACAGAATTCAGGCTTGACACCACTTAAACCTCAACACTATAGTATATTGGGAGTTGTAGCTTTACAAGGTCTCTAGCCATGTTATTACGATATCAATTTACACACTTTTTTCTCTTAAAGAGACACAAAGTGGCAAACAGTGGTAAAAACAATACAATACAATTTAAACCCTAAAGACTATAAACATTAAAATGGAATTAAATTTCAAACTATCTAAAAATAAATAATTAAAACTATTAAAGTGGTTCAAAGTGCATAAAACACCACACAGCACTCTCGAACTTGAAAACTTTCTTCTGTAAAAGCCTGCCTGAATCAAAAGGTTTCTGCCTTCTCTGCAAAGAGTGCCAGTGCTTTTCGATACTACAGCTCCCATGATTCCATAGCATGAAGCCACCACGGTGGTTAAAGTGGGGTCAAAAGTGCGTTAATTTTACAGTGGAGAGGCAGCCAGTTAGTCCAAGCTGAGGACTCCAGTCAGGCAGTGAGGAGCATCAGGGATTGTGAAGCAGGTTGCTGTGAGTTTTCCAGGCTGTATGGCCATGTTCCAGAAGCATTTTCTCCTGATGTTTCACCCACATCTATGGCAGGTTGTGAAGTCTATTGGAAACAGGGCAAGTGGGGTTTATATATCTGTGGAATGTCCAGAGTGGGAGAAAGAACTCTTTGTCTGTTGGAGGCAAGTGTTGCAATTGGACACCTTGATTAGCATTTGCAGCTTTAAGGCTTGGCTGCTTCCTGCCCGGGGGAATCCTTTGTTGGGAGTTGATTGTTTCTTGTCTGGAATTCTCACAGCAACCCAGTGATTCCGGCCATGAAAGCCTTTGACAACGAATTGTGAACCGCTTTTCCAAGACCTAATAGTCATAGAATCTTAGAGTCGGAAGAGACCTCGTGAGCCATCCAGTCCAACCCCCTGCCAAGAAGCAGGAACGTCGCATTCAAAGCATAATCACGCTGCGAAAAGAGCAGGGCGAAGAGTCCCAAAGGGCGCAGGGAAAAGAGGCTCCCCGTGGGAATCATTGGCCACCGGGGAAGAGGAGGATCCTCTGCTTATGAAGGAAACTAGAGAGGGAGGGAGGAGAAAGCCACGCAGCCCCTCGAAGCTAATGCGGAGCGAGGGCAGCACGCGAAGTCAGCCAGCCAGCCAGCCGCTCGCCCTCCTTCCCTCCCTCGTGAGGGCAACAAGTCCTTCCAGCTCAGAAACAAATCCAAACAACACGAAAAGTAGCAGGGAAAGGCCCTCCCAAGTTGTCCCTCGTGTGGAGGGGCTTGGTTGGAAGTCAGCCTGGCAGGTCTCTCTCTCTCCCACACAAAGCCACCACACAGTCTTTCTGGCCAGGGCTTGCAGCTGAGGGGGAGCCAAGGGGGGCGTGCGGGGAAGCTCCCTCCAGGCTGCCCTCGGCTTCAAGGGGGGGGGGGAGGCCTAGCGTGGGAGGGGCTTCCTCCTGGGAGCTCTTCCTTTTCCCCTCCCTCCCCACCCCCGCCCCCGCCCCCACTCCCGACTCACCCGCCGAGCCCAGGAGCAGCCAGAGGAGCCGCCACATGGCCCCTCGGAACTTGGGGGGCTCTCCCCAGCGCCGCCAGTGCCACCTCCTCCTCTTCGCCCAGAGCCCGGCCCAGGCCCAGGCTGCGGCGCGAGGGGAGGAGGGGAGGAGGAGGAGGCGGGGGCGGGCCAGGGGAAAGCTCCCGCCCAGCCCGACAGAGAGCCGGACCCTCTCGCCGCCCTCCGCCGCCTCCCTCCGCTCCCGGACGCCCCGCCCGCCCGCCCAGCCTTGCCCAGAGGCGCCCCGCTTTGCCCCGGTGCCCGGCTGGCCTGGAAACTCGGCACCCACCCGGAGCCATGGCGGCCTCGCAAGGAATTCATGCCACTGTGGCACTCACGCAGTTGGGCAGCACTCACTGCTCTGGGCTTCTCACGCCTGGAGTTGTGGTTTGGTGAGGCACCCGCTCTCTCTGGCTAAAGAGCTTGCAAAAGCCACAGTTCCTTCCCATGGTTCCTGAGCATTGAGCCATGGCAGTGAAAGCGGGGCCATGCTGCATCAATTCTACAGTGCAGATGCACCCATTGGCCTGGCCTACAAGGAAGGTAGGATATTAGAGGCCAAGATGAAGTACTTTGGCCACATCATGAGAAGACAGGAAAGCTTAGAGAAGACAACGATGCTGTGGAAAATGGAAGGGAAAAGGAAGAGGGACCAACCATCCAAGATGAATGGATGGTATCCCTGAAGTGAGTGGCTTGACTCTGAAGGAGCTGGGGGTGGTGACGGCCGACAGGGAGCTCTGGCGTGGGCTGGTCCATGAGGTCACGAAGAGTTGGAAGCGAATAAACAAATCAACAACAACAACAAGGAAGGTAGAACCTCTTGTGAATGCCATAGGGTGCCTCTATGCTATAGAATTAATTACCTTGAAGCTGCAAATCAAGGTGGTCAATTACAATATTCATACCTGCCTTAAACAGACAGTTCTTTCTCCCACCTGGACATTCCACAGATATATAAACTCCACTTGCCTAGTTTCCAACAGACCTCACAACCTCTGAGGGTGCCTGCCATAGAGCTGGGTGAAACGTCAGGAGAGAATGCTTCTGAGGCATTTATTTATTTGAAACATACATATTTTTCCCTTCTCACTCCAAAGGGGCTCAGGGCGGAGCACAACATATATACGGTAAGCATTCCATGCCGGGACATAAATATACACAAACACTAAAATCAGGTTATATGCACTTTAAATCAATTGTTCAAAACCATCTCAAAACACCATGCTGGCACCGATCAGCAAAATGGGTTTCCTATTATTGCCTTATTGCACTGTCCCAAAGGCTTGGTCCCACAGCCAGGTTTTTACAATCTTTTTGAAGGTCAGGAGGGAGGGGGCTGATCTAATCTCACCAGGGAGAGAATTCCATAGCCAAGGGGAAATCACTGAGAAGGTCCTCTCTCTTGTCCCCTCCACATGTCCCTGTGACAGTGGTGGGATCGAGAGCAGGGCTTCCCCAGAAGATCTTAGTCTTCGCAGTGGCATGGCTATACAGCCCGGAAAATACAGCAACCCAATGATTCCGGCCATGAAAGCATTCGACAATACATAGAATTAATGTAGTTTGACACCACTCTGACTGCCATGGGTCATTTCTAAAAACGAGAATGCTATTGATTGTGAAATTTGAAACATCCTGCAAGTGGAGTGCCACAGGGTTCCGTCCTGTGCCCGGTCCTGTTCAACGTCATTATTAATGACTCTTAGATGAAGGGTTAGAAGGCGTGATCATCAAGTTTTCAGACAACACCAAATTGAGAGGGATAGCCAATACCTCAAAAGATAGGAGCAGAATTCAAAACAATCCTAACGGAGAGATGGGCCAAAACTAACAAAATGAAGTTCAACAAGGACAAATGCAAGATACTCCACTTAGACAGAAGAAATGAAATGCAAAGACACTGAATGGGGGGATGCCTCACTCAACAGCAGTACATGTGAAAAAGATATTGGAGTCCTTGTGGACAACAAGTTAAACATGAGCCAACACTGTCATGTGGCAGCTAAAAAAGCCAATGGAATTTTGGCCTGCAAAAATAGGAGCATAGATCCAGGGAAGTCATGCTACCCCTCTATTCTGCCTTGGTCATACCACACCTAGAATACCGTGTCCAATTATGAGCACATGATGGTCATGTATAAATATGTGAGGGGAAAACATAGGGAGGAGAGAGCAGGCTTGTTTTCTGCTGCCCTGGAGACTGGGGCATGGAACAATGGCTTCAAGCTACAGGAAAGGAGATTCCACCTGAACGTTAGAACTTCCTAACTGAGAGCTGTTCAGCAGTGGAACTCATGCCCTGAAGTGTGGTGGAGGTGCCTTTTAAACAGAAGTTGGATGGCCATCTGTGGGGGGTGCTTTGAATGTGGTTTTCTTGTTTCTTGGCAGGGGTTGGACTGGATGTCCAACGAGGTCTCTTCCAACTCTATGATTCTATGGGGGGGGGGAAACCCCAAGGTTTCTTGAGCAAAAGAGAGTCAGACCTAGTTGATACTTGGATGGGAGGCCACCAGTGAATACCAGGTGCTGTTTTTTCAGGAGAAGAAACTGATGAAAACACTTCTGAGTGTTGACCCTATAGAAAATTATTGGGATTGCCATAAGGCGACAGGTGACTTGTAAATGTGTGAACATGCACATAGCATTTCTAGGGGACTGAAAGGTCAGCACAATCATACTAGCTAGGACCATTCTATCAAGATAGACATATAAAAAGTTTTTAAACAACATCATACCTCAATGACACCAAATGCTGTCTGATCTTGGAAGCTTAGTTAGGTCAGCCCTGGTTCGGACCTGGATTAGAGACAGTCAACAAATGGTACTGTAGAGGAAGGCAGTGACCAAACCACCTCTGAGTATTACTTGTCTAAGAAAAGCCTAGAAAGTCCATGCGGTTGCTGTTTGTCAACAGGTGACTTCAAAGCACATAGACACTATGGTGGCTATTTGAAGGCTGAGTCAATCTTAAATTTTGTTATGAGTGTGTGTGTTTTTTCGGGGGGGGGGGGAGGTTAAAACAATTTCTCTAGTATTAAAAATTGTTAAGGAAGCATACAATTAGGAGGAGGCATGCCCTGTATATGTGTTCTGACTTGGGAAATAAGGCTCACGGGACCCAGGAGGGTGACTTCCTAGTAAGTGGTGGAGACCCAAACATGGCCTTGACTCGTGTTAACCAAAGTTAGGGGATATTCTGAATTCTGGCCTAGAAGTTGGAGTATGCCCTTCGGGCCCATGTAAATAGTTGGGTTAGTTATGAAATGGAAACGACTCCAACTGTTTTCATTGCCATGCCATGTTTCCTGGGCTCGGACAGCCCCATTACACAGGATAGCATTTACCATCCCCTCCTAATCAGGAGAGAGAAGGGAAAATTCCCTGTCACCTGAGCTAATATCATTGCAGCCAATGGTAGGACCTATGTCATGACCGGACTCCACCGAAACATGGAGAACGGGAGGTGTTGATAAGTATGGCTGTTCAGAGACAGGACTCCCCTCCCACCCACCCCTTCTCTCCAGCAACTAGGGAAGGGTGTCTGTGTAACCCATTTTGGGGCTGAGCCAGAATATGTCACACCAGATCATCTCTGAAGCAGCCCTCAAGAAAACTTTGTGATTAGGGTGACCTTTCAGGAGTCATACACTGAAAAAAAAAACAGCATTTGAGGTTTGGGTACTGTTCTATTATGCAGGTGGAGACCAAAAGGGGGTACTAGTCAGAGAAAGATCGTCCATTTTATGAAGGAGAAAAACAATTTCCCCCGTTTTTGCTGGTTATTCCCCTCCCCACTTGTGATTTCATAATGAGGGTTGTTTCCACAACAGTGACATTGGTGGGTGGAATACAGGAAAATGGGGAAATGGTTTCACTCCTTCAACACCCCCTCCGCCATAAAATGGATTATCCTTCTCTGTCTAGCTCCCCCTTTTGGCCTCCACCCGGATAATGGGAACAGTACCAAGGCTTGTTTGTGTATAAAAATACAGTAAATATCAGTTTGAAGGGAGAATTATACTTGTCAATGAATCATGGGGAAGTTTAATAAATTTAATAATATTTAATGAATAAATTATTCAGAATTAATTTTAGTTAATTTCAATCTATAGAGGTTTTAAAATTATTTTTAACTCAGAAGTACCCTCCCCACCCCCAAAGTGTAACCTTCAAGCATTTTGACACCCCAAAATTGTAGCATTTTGCCATATGGCATTTGTCTACCCAATTGTAACTACTTTGCCCATTAAAAAGTATAAATTGAAACAGTCCCACAGAAATCTGCAAGAAGCCAAAAAAGCCCCCTCAATCCCTCGCCCCCCACCATTTCTAATCTGACTACCAAGCCACCAAAGAACAGCATTGACCCTTCGGGGAAAATCTCTGAAAAAGTCTTGTAAAGAAGATTTATTCAGAGTGTAGGCTGGACAGTAGCATGGTGGACCAATATAATTATTCAATTTGCCACCTATTTATTATTTACTGCGCTTATATACTGCAATTCTCAGCCCAGGGGCGACTCAAATACATGTTTCTCCAAATACACCAAATACATGTTTCTCCAAAAGAGATGGTAATGGATAAGTGCTCTTTTTGTGACTTTTTGTGTTGGTTAAAGTGGAATGTTAGGGCTATTCAAGACAGCACTAGATCTGAAAATATGCATTATACATAAGTAGGAATACCAGGCAGTCTGGTTTTGTCAGAATAAAGAAAGGTGCTGAATTATTTAGAAGAGAAGAGAGCACGCTATTCTGAGCTCTGTTTACTCCAATAATTCACATTTATGAATGATTGCAACTCCACAGAATTTTGTACATCTCGATATGGCACTTTGCCAAGACAGTTGCTACTTTGTTTGTTTGGCACCATTAGCATTTAAAGAATCTCTAAGAAAGTACTTAATGCTATTGGCAATTATTTTGTGAGCCAGCCAGTCTGCAAAAGCTATAATATCATACTTAGGGGCGGATCTATGCCACTGAACTTTGAAATATTTCTTAACTAAATGAGGATCATGTCAAGCTTCACATCACAGTCTGGTTCCCCAAGTTTTGAACCTTCACACACTGTAAAGCAGAATTAAATAGTTCCCTGTAAACA